CGCGACAGGGTATTTAGAGCGCTGCCATACTATGCATATTATTTCAATTTCTTAACCTATTCATTTTTTCATTTTTATGGATATTATTTTCGATATACTTATTATTGCTACTTCTGATAATGTCATTTCTTTTTTGCTGCAATACAGCATAGTATAGTTTATTATAAACGGTTGGTATTGGCCGCAACATCAGGATTTGTACATGTCAATAGCAGTACTAGCAGTACTGTTCACATTCTGGCTAATACTAATTTTGATAGAAAACTGGAATAATAGCTGGTGTTAATACAACAGAACAGACTAGGTATGTTATATCATATGACGAAATACAATACAGGCAGTTGATAAGACCATGTAATAAGATTTAACGCAACGCAGTATACAAGGTAGAATCATGAAAACTTAGATTGATATAATTTCATATTATAAAATATGATCTTTTGTTGTGCAGCTTCTTATCATGTGAGCTTATCTTTTGATATACCACCATGAATTATACCGTGTTCTACTGCGTTGTATAGTTTTGCACCGTGTTGCATTCTATTGTGCTGTATTGTGGTTGTTTTTTATTGTTATTATTTCTCGTACCTTGTGTTATATGGTCTCGTACGAAACTGCATTACATATATCATCTCATATTATTGTCTTGCATTGTTTTATCTTTTGGCATACTAACGAATCACACTTTATGACATGACACTTCGCTATACTGGATGATGTCGTCTTATATCATCATATTCATTACGGCATATCAGACCATACCATCATACCATACCATACCATACTACACAGTCATATGTCACACTATATTGTAGCCGCAGAAAAAACAGTTGCCGCACCTCGCCATATCTGAGTTGCCGAAAGCAGAAGTCGGCAAAGCATCATGGAGATAGTTGTTGGTGAAGCACCACGCCTAGTCATGGTTGGTGTAGTATTAAATTAAAACTTTAACTTCTATTTCTTATTCAATTCCTACGTAACCATAAACATGCAAAATGTTACCCAACTGTGACAAAGATGCATAGTGAGCAACCCAGGTTCCAGTCAAACATCCTCATCTCAGCGCTCGAGATCGACTGCAGTGCCCTCACCTGGCCTTGTGTTCTATAGCAGCTGAAACCCTTTACAGAAGCTGAAGGCTCTCCCTTCTTAACTGGGAGGTGCTTCTGCCAAGGTCGGTCCTGCGGTGCCCCTCCACAGGCTCAGTGGCCGCTTCTTAGCTTCGATCATCAGCAGGGTCAGGCCCTGCTGGCCATTCACTTGCTTGGCCTCAAATAAGCCAAAGAAAACGACACACAGCGACACAGGAGTGTTGGCATTCGTGTTTGCAACGCGCCAGACGTAGCAATGCAAGGAGAACCGTTCGCGAATGAGTGCCAGCAGCATCTATTCAAGTCTGTTACTGGAAAGTGCAGCCTGGGAGCAGTCTGCCATGCATCGAGCGGCATGAGGAGTATCTTCAGACCGGTCGCCGCAGCAGAAGACAAAGCTGCTGTGGCCGTGTGAGACACGGAGTAATTGGCCTCGCGTACCCCCGACATCTTGGGTGAGTGGCTAGAGCTGCAATTCGCTGACAAAGCGATGAACGGTCGAAGTTGCAACGTTAAACGCCCTTGCAACCCATGATGCTAACTCGACAGCTCGAGCTCTTGTCCGAATAGGAACAAGCGTCACACCCGGATTCTCAGATCGCAGCTGTGACTGAGAGAAGACCTTCGTTAACTGCCAAACCACCTCAGTTTCTCACTCATAGTCTCTTGCAGCACCGTTCATAAAACCACTGGCAGCACACAATGTCTTCGACAGGAAAGGCTCATGTATAATCAAGACATTGCAAGCTGCCGAATCGTAGGACTGGTGATTGCACCAGCGCAGGGACGACGCCTGCCATGAGGTCGTGACTGTGGTCCTTGCCCTCTCTAGACTTGGAGCCTCCAGCGGAGCATGCGTCTCGCTTTCGATGGGTTGATCCGTCCCATTTTGATTGAGATGCAACCATGACTAGCCAGGACACCCAGAACCGAAAACAGGACGATACACGAGCCAAGCAACATCGTCACCGACAAGCGAGGAAACTCAGGAAATCCCAGGAGCCCGAGACGTCCGCAGTCAGACTGCAGAGCAAAATGTCGAGGCAACGAGGGAACCAACAAAGTATTGAAAGCAATGAACTCCCCAGCGACCAGCAAAGCAAGCAAGACATTCTGTCTGAACATGAACTCAACAAACACCTATAGCAAATCATCGTCGAATTCGGCACCTATACAGTGAAGACGACTGACCTGCTGCTGGACAGCAAAACCTTGATCCCTTTCCCCACCAGGAAGTTCAAGACTTTCTACAGGAGCCGACCTCGGTAAAAGCGACGTGGACCACCTTCTGCATATAATCTCCGAGCAACATCTAGCACTCGACCACCGTGCCGGTATTGGTAGTTCGTCACGGTTCGCCTGGAATGGGGGATGATGCGGGCATTTGGCTAGACAATATGAGCCTCTCTGAGTCGTCTTGGGGCATACCCTGCTACTCTGACAGAGCTCGACAGCCTTGCAGCTCAACGCACTGCCTTCCATCTTTCGGAAGACTCAGCACTTCCGACCGGGGCACATCCACATAAAGGCTGGAACGCAGATGGCTTGGACCACGGCTGCGGCGACTCCGCCGCGAAGTGCGCTGGCGGAAGCTTTGTCCATGCAGACCCTGCAGTCGTGCAGTGTGCAACATGGCACGATTGTCAAGAGAATACCTTCGTGTCGACAGAAAACCAAACCAACTGGCCGTACGGGCATCCGCATGATCATCTCGCACCCCGGCCTGTCCGTCTGAATAAAGAAACACATGGTAGCAAAGAGCTTCTTCCACTGGTAGTGGACTTGGGCAAACGCTGCGGTATGCATGCAGAAAAGCCATGACTTGCCAGTTCCCACGTCGAAGCATAACCAGGCCGTTTCGACAAACCTGACCAAGACTCTGGCATCGTGTGGCAGCAGAACAAACATTGCGGCGCCGGGATCGTCGAGCAAAGCAGCTTGCAGCAATGCCACCTTCAGCGCGAGTTCCAGGGATATGCTGGGATATGAAAAAGACCCTTGGAACTATGCTGATTATTTCCCACAGCACCGCTATAAAATGACTGGCAAGCTCTGCTGCCGGTTTGTTGTACGCCGGCATATGCACAGCAAACACAGCAAGTTTCGGCAATGCCTCGGCAGCAAGCAGCTCACACCAGCCAGTCGCCACCTCGGGTGATTCAATCCCTCAGACCTTTGTTCAGAGCCTGACGCTAATCTCTCGTCTGGACGTGAATGAACCTTCCTTCTCCTTCACTCTTGTGGGCTGGCTACAACACGTTTACGCTGTATAGTAAGCATCTTCTCGCGTTTGCACGATGATTGCACAAACATTTTTCATCGCATGCAGGCGCACATTCGCCGAGACCGGCGTACCCACCTGCCTACATTCAGAGGTGTGCACATCACTGATAGCTGCGGCTCTAGCTTTGGAATATTGCCCAAAGATCTCCGTTGAGATGAAACACAAGGCTCACGAGCTTTATGGGAGCACGTTTACTTGATCCGGCTGTGCGAGGCACGGTGAGGGGGTGGTGCTGGCTGCGGACTTGCTGGTCTTGAACCCCCAAACCCAAACCCGAAAAAGGTTCTCCCTTAATTATTTTTTTGGAGGCCTCAAACTAAAACCCTTAACCTTAACAATCGGAGTTGCATCCGGATGCCTAACTGGGGCATCCTGAACATCAGGATTGGACCCTGAATGCCCTCCCTCGATTCTCGGATCCCAGCTTGGGGGTCCGGCCGGAGCGATGATCTTCCTAGTGCCGGGGAGCGCCTGGAGCGGGGGTGAAGGGCTGGGAGTTCCTCTGACTTTTGCCCCCCCCCCGGGTTGAGCCCAACGTACCTGGAGCGCTTGCACAACTTCTGGTCCTGTACAGGAGGAGTCGGGTTCTGTGCTACGAGTGGTGGGGTCCTAGGGGTCGAGGGAGCTGAGGGTTTGGCGCGCCTGCGGCCTGCAAGTCGGTCACGTGAAAATACAGAGAAACCCGTGGCTCTTCGACGGAGCCGCCTTGACAATCAGGACACGCAAGCAGCATTGTTTCAATAAGGCTCACCAAAATCAGACAGAATATGGACATTCAATTGCTTGGTCCACCTGTCGTGTCAGTTTTCGGCTGCAGCCACCTGGACGTCCACCCGGCGAAGAGACGATGCTGCATGATCTGTTTACGTCAAAGGGCACTCATTACAACGCAGACCACGCTTGGCCTTTGCCAAACGTCTATCTCCACCAAATGTGTCCGCAGCATGAAGAGTAGGGCCAAGCGTCGCTCCTGCGCAAAGCTACTGGTGCATGCAGACAAGGTTCCTAGCATCCAGTCGGAGTTTCGGGAAGCCGACAGAAGTAGCGAAAACGGACAGCCGTTCTGGCTTCCTGTCCTTGGACGTCGTGTCTGTGTCCCGGATGGGGGAAGCCTTCTTGCCACAGGCAACAAAGCTCGGCACGCAACACGCTATCCATTCGGATAATTGGCAAATGCAGTCTAGCTCCATGCAACTGCACAAACATCATCCAGAAGATGTGTAACTTGCCTCTGCATGGCCGTTTGCGTAGGACCATGCAAATTGAACTAGCTTGACGCATTGCACAAGAAGCTCCGTTCCAGGGTCCAGGCCCTTGCAATCTCAATGGCCAGCTCGATGTCCTCCGTTTGCAAGGGAACTTGCTATACGGTATAAGTGTCTAAGAAGCGTAGTTATCTCCGACATCCTTCCTCCTCTTGGCTCAATTTGCTGGACGACGGCATTCCACAAGCGATTCTTTCCCGCAGGAGGTCGGAGAGTATTGGCTCGACCCCGATGTACGACTGTTTACAAGATTAAGCGAGGGTTAGCCCCAGTAGGTTTCATAAGTCTAAGTGCTTTCTTTCAGTAACTGTGGCCGACTTCAGGCGACGAGACGAAACACAGAGGGTCTCCTTGAAGTGGACATTCTCCCTTCGCGTGAACAGCTTGCGGCCGAAAGAGTACCAGGCTGTGAACAAACACAGGTGCAGCGTTGCCAAGCACACCTGGAATGGGACTTCAAAGTTGACGGTCAAACTGAAAGCGAAAAGGTTCAGAATTCTGATTTAGTGTTGCCATCTGAGGTTCGGACCACAACCGCAAGCAGCGCAGCTGTTGCCAGGCAGCGCATCTCGATGCATCCCGAGTCATCAGCAGCTTCTTTCGCCAGGCTTCATTCATGTTTCACTACGTAGATCAGAGAACTCTAAAGCCTCTTCCAGATCTCATTCAGTAGCTTTCTGCGACCTTTTGGATGGCAGTACTTGCGAGAGAATTAAGACTATAATCGACTATCGTAGTATGACTGCCGCATACTGCCTCAGTACCTGCCTGTGGCGACAAGTTGCTTTGGACACAGCTGTTCTTGGGGTCTAGATGAAGCGTCATAGGTTTCTGCACCTTCTGCTGCGGCAGTGTGCGCGGGGTCCCGGAATGCTGTGGCAGCAAGGATCGATTCGGCATGCCATGTCCCAAAGAAACAGGGAGAGAGAAAAAATGAGATAGGACAAGTCAGAGAGAGAGAGAGAGAGAGAGAGAGAGAAGGAGAGTGGAGGGAGATGAGAAAGAGCAGAGGGAGGGAAGATGAGAGAGAGCGAGAGACACAAGGGAGGGAGTGAGAGTGCGCCTGCACTGCTCTCCATTCATCCCGAAGCAAACTAAATGGGTGTTCCGCACCACTAATGTCAAGGCTGCGGAAGAGCGTCGAGGCATCCACCTGGTTGCAGATGCCAGGTCCGTGGTTCTTCGATGCTGACAGGGGTGGGGAATGCTTCTGCAAGGTGCAGGGCTTCAATGGTGTGTGCAAAGATCCCGACGTACCATCGGCTGGACAAAGGAATGTGTGAAGGACTGGTAGCCTTACATCGCGTCGGCAGAACCTTACTGTGCGGAAACCTGTCTTGGGTTAGGACGGTTAGGAGGTCTTCTGCAAGCTTAGCACATCGTAGAACGATTCAGATTCAGCGTAGCATGACTTTGTTGGTAGACCTTTTCAAGACTTAAACCTTTCCGTAAGGAATCTTTTCGATGCATCTTTCGATGAGGGGATGTACTACATGATGTAGTTGATGAAGTGACGCTACGCCCTAAACCTTTAATACACAAAGCCTGCCTTTCTCTCGTTTTCTTGCATCTCTTCGGGCCCTTTGAGGAAGAAAAGGTTTGTGGGTATGAATGGTTCTGGAAGCCACTCGGCTCTCAGCTGCCTTAGCCATTTACAAGATGCGAGAATTTGTGATGGTTCAATTGCCCATAGTATTCGGTGAGACTGCGAAATTTGTACGATTTGTGATGAAGGCCTCAGGCGTGTCGAGGATGCATCGAATTCTTTATGCATGGGCAGTGTAAAGTTTAAAGCAACCTGCATCAGGCATGGATGGACTGTAGGCATGTTGCAGCTCTGCGAAAACTCCCCCGTAACATCCCGTAACAGCATCTGCAGGCTGTTCTGTGGCGCTCTACATAAGTGGAATGAGTTGACTTGGAAAAAGGTCTCATTCCTTGCTACAATACCTTGCTTCTGTTCCGGAAAGCGTCCGTTCTTTTTTATTCGCGCTGCGTTTGGCGACGTTCGTGCACAGCTCATGCGTGCGTAACGTGGGACACTTGCAACTGGCTACTCGGAACATATATTCGAGCAGTGTGAGGGCACCCCATTGCTGGAGCCCAGCAGTTCTGCCCGTACCTGCGGCTGCCTAAATCATGTACAATCCAACATAAGCCGCATCATCACTGTGAGGCTCGCACACCCTCTGCTCCTTCTATGCAGGATCGTCGGGATCTAGATGCGGCTCGTGTGTCGGCAGTCGACAGTCAAAAAAGAAACGGTGTTGCAAAAGGAGAGCAAGGCTTGCCAGTAGAGGCAAGTCGGTGGGGCACTTCTGTCACGTCAGGCTGCTCATGAACTGCCAGGGCTGTGCACCAGTACCAGTGAAGTTCGCACAGAGCTGGACCCTTCATCCAACTGGCAGTTGCATGGGCTATCCATGGCTGTGACTAGTTGTGGCCTGTTTTTCAGCAAATGGTGGATTGGCGTTCGGCCCGTTGAAATCTTTTTCGGGCACCTAACAGCCTTCCAAGAACGTGAACTTATCATAAGCGTTTCCACGTGCGGTCTTCCTTTCAGCTCAATTGTCATTGCTGTTCTGGCTGGCTTGTCGGTCCCTATCTTCATACAATAAGCCTGTAGGATAACCGCACGCAATTCAATTGGGCGTCCTGATGCGAAGACGCCGGAAGCAGGATTTAGCAAGTTCTCATGCAAGCTTGATGTCACCAATACCTGCGCCGCCTCGCAGTGGAGCACTTGCGGCTGACGTCTTAATATATCTAGACGGCTGGCAATCAAACAAAGCCCGTGCCTGACAGCAGCATCAGACCAAGTGGGTCAGCTTAACATGCCCACACCTTTCGTCAGTCTCCAGCCAACTTCACCGAAAAACTCTTAAGCCTTCTCAGATGCTGTGCTCGGAGCGTGTACGCGATTGTCCAGTCCGTAGCCTAACGGGCTGAGAGGCTCCTGGCCGTGGCTCCGAAATTTCATGCAAATGGCGGCCACGGGTGGCAAACACAGTGACGTAGAAACGGATGGTTGTTGTGTTCCGAAACTGGAAAGCTCCACTCTCTTGATGGCTACAGGATTTCTGGTATGACAGCGGATAGGTGCAACAGCAGAACTTGAAGTCGGCCAAGGCCTCGATCAGCTTGCCGAAGCTCGGATTGGAGACTCGTCGCTTCACTTCCTCAGACCTCCGAGCCGCTGCACGTCAATACCCACGGCCAAGCACATCGGCTGTTTTCAATAAAAAATGCACTTACAAAACAGAATCACCGCAACATGAAGACACGAATGCCTGTGCGCAGGTTCAGACCACTGGGACTCGTCACGTCCACTTAAATGGACGTTTAGATCCGGCCAGTACCCGGGCGTCTGCACGGGCAAGAAGGCCTCGGTGCATGGACTAAGGATTTGTAGCGTGAGCTCCTGCCAGATTTTGAGAAACTTGCCATGGTGGGGATGCCCGACTCTGAGATGTTCACAGGTTCGAAGCGCTTGTACTTCGGCTCAGGCTGCAAGCCTGGCGAGCCGCGTCTCAGGCCAACCCCATGTTGCAAACCTTTCCGATGCCACAAGCCTGCCTTGGGACCGCATCAAGGAGCTGCGGCTTCCTCGGTCCAATTCAGCAAAGGACACCGCCCTGAAGAGTCGACGTGCAGCTTTTTTTTTTCAGATGTGTTCAGATTTCCTGAGTGTCAGGCGACCGAGTTTGAGCCACCTGAGGAACCAAGGTCTTTGACCTTTGCGAACCATGTCGGCGAACTCCTGCAAAGCCGTCCACATGTCGGGGACATGGACAACCGCAAGGTCTCTCGTGACTCTTGTGCAACGAGCTCATCGAAGGATAAGTTTAGAAAGGTGTTGTTCCCCAGACGGGGTAGTGTGCACGCACGATGAGGAGGTCTGCCGGCATGCGCTTTTGCCTTGACATGTCGTTTGAATTCCTCCAGTACTCCTGAATGTTGAGAATCCCTCCAGTACATGTGGGGGAGCATGGTGGTCGTCTCTCTGAGCTGGCATATTTCACGTGGAATTGCAACAGATGACGTTCTGGTGCGGCACATGTCCTTCTCAGAGTAGCCAAGCTCTGCCAGCGCGCCAAGATGGCCTCGGTGTCCACGGTTGGCCCCTTCGGGCTTCGACAATCATCGTGCACCTGCATAAGCCACACATGTGTCCTGGGGCAGAAAGCCTCATTAGACAGCAACATGTCAGCTTCTGTCCTCATGCCTGAGGCAACCGCAATCATGCTGGATATCGTTTACCTGGCGCACGTGATTCAGGAACGCCATCTCTGTCTCTCCTGGCTGCGGGCTGTGGGAGCGATAGGCTTTCTGCATGCGATTTGCAACGAACATCCAGTATACATTGCTGTTAGCTATGACGAGATTACGTTGGTTCTGCCGATGATTGGTTGAATGCATCTGAAGATTCTCCATCGTTTGCATGAGCCCATGGTCTGTCTCTGCTCATTTGGTAGTGTCGCTTCTGCACAGCTCGCACTGAAGACTTGCAAACGGCAAGACGAAGCCCAACCCTGAGAGCCTATGGAGGCGTGCTCACTGCACCTCGGCGCTTGAAAGACTGTGGTGCGGGCAGTGAAGCATCACAACGAGTACAAGCTGGGTACACAGTTTTGAAGACTGCTCGTTGGCCAGTGTTGCCGACTGCTGCAGCTTGACAGCTGCACAGCATCTCGGTGAAGTTTTGAAGCTCTGTGTTGGCATTTCATGACCGAGGCTTCTGCAGGATGCCACGCAGGATGTCGACATAGGCGCGCTCGGCGGCATCTGTGTTACAGCTGCACAACAACCTGCACGGGACCGGCAAAAAAAACAGAAGCTCGTCATCGTCGCCGTGTTTTTCAAGTCTTCTCATGAGCATCTGGGCTGCGCATGGCTGCGCCTATCGAACTTCCAGTTCAGCCCTTCCGCGAAGAGCTCCTGCGTGGCGATGTTCGACGCAAGCTGTTCGACGGAAGCAATGACACCACGGCCTGCAGCTTGTTCTTCAAAGCTGGCCTCAGAATCTTTTTTGGCAGTGTGAAATGTTGCTCTTGACATTTGTTTGACTCAGCCGCCGGCTTGGAGGAAAGGTATTCGTTCAGCTCGGCAGCATCCCATTCAACCGCGATAGAACTCGGCGGGTGCTGTCGACAAGCATGCCAACGACATTGCATGAAGACCCGGCCAGCTGAGCTGCTTCAATTCAGGCCATGACAGCTGGACAAAAACATATTATGTTAACATTCCTTGCCAATAGCTTGCAGCTTGCCATCAAGAGGCTTCTTGGAAAAAACGGTCGTTACCTGGCGGCCAGGTGTCTTGAGAATATGCCGCACACATCTCTCCAGTCTTCAATGTCTGCGCTGTGTCTGCTATGGCTGCCTGCGTCTCTTTGCGAGTCCTGAGATCCTCACTGTGCAGATCTGTGCAGTCTGTTTCGAATCCGCTGCCTTGTGCTTCACACCAGTGTTGCGAGCTCGCTCCACGAGCTGGAACTCACCCCAGAAGTCCCCTGGCCTCACCGGTTCGGCCATCAAAACAACTACTAGGAAGAATGACAACGCTCTC